AATTGAGTTTGCTATACTTTTAGTTTGTTTTGGGCCCTAGATAGGTCATCATGGGGCTTGTAAAGGAGCCATCTCCATGGGTCTAAGGGCAGGTCTGTGTGTAGGATCCTAAATGCTAGTTGGGCTATTCCCTGCCAGACCCGAAATAGGTGCACGCACCCCCACCAGAGGTGGAGGTACGTGCCTCGCTCCATGCATCCCTTCCAGCATAGGTCCATGTTGAATTGGTGCATTTGTTTCAGTCTGAGGGGGTAACATACCAGTGGAGCAAGATTTTTTTTTTTTTTTTTTAAGTATATGTTTATTTTCACATTGTTTTCATCCAAGTAACATACATAGAAAGACCAAGATTGCTATATTACAATATGATATATATATATATATATATATTTTTATATATATATATATATATATATATATATATATATATATATATATATATATACATATCAAATCCATCGCTATGGTTTTATTAGTTAAAACAGAAAGTACTCATGTCACAAAAAAAATAAGAAAAAAATAAACACAACTAACTCATTCATACTCACACTAAGTTTCCATACATCGAGAGGATAACATTTGTTTTTTTTGGGGGGGGGGGAACAGGTGGGGGAGTTAAGCTATTGTGCTCAGGTATCTAACCCAATTGGCCCAAATTTCATCATATTTCTCTTTGGATACTCTATCCAATGCTATACCTGCTTCCATCCTATGTTGGAAATCCAACTGTGTACATAAATCAGACCATTTCAAGAGACCCATAGGTCTCCAATTTCTGGCCAGAACTATTTTACTTGCCATAAAGATATGAATCATGAGAATTTTCGTTTTTAAGTTAAGCTTTGGCATATCTAAATGAAACAAAAACATTTGGGCAGTTATCTCTGTTTGTGCCTTAGTAATAAACTTTACAAGCCTGGATAAAATTGATTTCATAGGAGTCAACTCCTCACATCCCCACCATATATGGGGAAATGACCCTAATGCCCTGCCACATCTCCAACAATCTGGTATAGTTGTAGATTGAAATTTGTGTAGACGAGTAGGCACCAAGTACCATCTATAAACAAGTTTAAAATAGACTTCCCGAATATTTACCCCATGTATATATCTTTTTACTGAATGTAGCCCTGACAACCACTCTTCAAGCGTAAAAGAAACTTGTAATTCTTGCTCCCATTTTATCCATGCTAGTGCTTTATCTATTTGTTTTTGATCTTTTATAAAGTTGTTAAATCTGGAAGCAATTTTTTTTCTATAATAATGGAAAGCTATGAATTGATCAATTGGGGAATTTTCTGAAAATTCTTTACTTGAAGTAAATGATTTAATTCTTAAATAGTTAAATACTTCTTTAGAGGGAAGATTATACGTAAGCTGTAGGATTGGAAATGCAAAAATTTGATTGCCCTCTAGTAATTCCTCAAATTTTACAATTCCACACCTTTCCCATTCTTGGATGTTTATATCTTTGACATAAAATTTTAAACATGCTAATGGGGCATTTTTTGATATATATTTGGTGCCATATTTCTTTTTTAAATATTTTACTATATAGATCATTGTGTTATTCATCGGATTGTTTGTTTTTATACTTTTTATAAATTCACTATCGCACCAAATAAGAAAAAGAGGTTCAAGATTGCCAATGTCAGCTTTTTCAATGTCTATCCAAGTTGGTCTTATAATTGTAATATTATCACACATAATTAGATGTACAGCCATGTTAATCATATATAATTTTTGTACATCCGGAAAGGAAACTCCTCCCTCCCTCCATTCTCTCTGTAAAATTTCCAGTGATACTCTAGGTCGTCTATCCTGCCAAATATAGTCTGAGATCTGTCTTTGAAAACCACGTATCGTCTGGGAGTCCACCATCAGCGGAAGATTCCTAAATAGAAATGTCAGTTTAGGAAGTAAGTAGGAGTTGACTGCCTCAATTCTTCCCATCCATGACAGTTCCAATCCCCTCCAAGCTTTAAGGGTACTCCTAAATTGGGTAGCTATTTCTGAATAATTTAGTGCTCCGAGCTCATTATATTCCAATGATAGGGTTACCCCTAGATATTTTATGTTCCTAGCTCCCCATGCCCATTTAAGCCCTTGATCAAAATTTGTGTTTTCTTTATGTTTACTTTATAGCCTGAAAGTTTGCTATATTCTTTGATAAGGCAAAATACAGCTGGGATAGATCTAATAGGGTCCGTAAGAGACAGGAGAATGTCATCTGCATAAAGTGTGATTTTATTCTCCAAAGTATTCACCATAAGTCCGCTGATGTCCTCACTCTGTCTTATAGCAGCAGCCAAGGGCTCTATGGAAAGAATGTATAACAGGGGTGCCAAAGGGCATCCCTGTCGCGTCCCATTTCTAATTGGAAACCAATTTGATTGGAACATGAATCCAGAGACCCTGGCCTGCGGATCCTTATATAATGCCATAGTACATTCCTTAAAAGCACCATCTATGCCAAAGGCCCTCAAAACCTCTTCCAAGTACTTCCAACTGACACGATCAAAGGCCTTCTCGGCATCGAGTGTGACCAAAGCAAAAGGGGACGGACTTTGACTTGCATGGTATAAAACATTCATTATTTTCCTAATGTTATCAGGTGTGCCCCTGCCCTCCACAAAACCACTCTGATCTATATGCACAATGTCTGGTATAATTCCTTTAAGTCTATCTGCCAAAATTCTAGAATACAACTTAATATCCAAATTGATAAGAGAAATTGGCCTATAGTTCAAAGTATATGATGGATCTTTTTCTAATTTAGGGATTGGCATTATGGAGGCCTGAAGCATTTCTGATGGAATTACTCTATGAATAGCAAATTCATTAAATGTCTCCAACAGATATGGAGAGATTATACCGTTTAATTTCCTATAAAAAAGCGATGAGAACCCATCTGGGCCTGGGGCTTTACCCCATTTTAAAACACTGATAGTATTACTAATCTTCTGTATTGTAAAGGAGCTATTTAGCGGAGTTAATTTCTCATTTGAAATTTTTGGCAAGTTTAATTTGTCCAAAAACTGCTGTATTTCCCTTTCAGAAGGTACCTTGAGTTTTAGTTTATACAAGCTTCTATAATATTCTTCAAATGCATTAGCTATTTGGGTCGGTGAATAAAGTTTTTTATTTCTATGTATGATATACTTTAATTTATTTGAAAGATTTTTTCCTGTTTTGTTATTGCTATAGTACCATCCCTGTTTTAATATTAGCATTGCAGTGGAGCAAGGTCTTGTAGGGTTTCTTAGTATTGATGTCAAGAGGGATGGGTTGTTAATGATGGCACATTTCCATGTCACCCTGTCCCATGTCTGAATCAAGGTCGCTAGGCTCGGTGTGGTGAGGTCTGTCGCATTTTTGGTATCCAAAGGTAAAGGGAAGGAAATTACTAGTTTGCTGAATTGTTTAATGACCCTGGTCCATATAGTTTTTGTGTGGCTTTGGAAACAAGCAGATATTAGCCTAAAGCATTTCTGGAAAGAGTGTTTTTATACTTCCTTCATTCCTTCAGAATGGAGTTTAAAAAGCTGCTTAAATGTGGTAAAAGGATGGTGGAGTATGTTTTAAAATATATGCACGAGAACCATCATGTCGGCCCCTTCAGTGGTAATAGGGTCAGTGAGAATCCTTCTTACCTCGTCCACGATGGTAGGCAGTGAGATGGTGTCACGGGTGGTGGTATGGAAACTGGGACCCCTGAGTGCCTGATGATAAGTGGGAGTCTTCAGTGTGGAAGTGGATTACAGGGCCCGGTGCAGGGTAACCGCATGCCCCCTTGTGTTGAGCACCAGCGTTTGCGCAGCCACATACCAGAATCCTGATGCAGCTACAGCGGATCCCAGGAACCAGTAGCTTGATATGCAGACCTCCCGGGAACTGGATAGGGGGGCTCTGCAGCAGACATATATACAGTACAGAAACAAGGCAAGGCTAGGATAGTCACCAAACATGAAAACAAGACAGAACTAATAGAACCCAGAACCAGAGCCGGACAGAAAGCAGAACATGTACACAAGACATGAGGAAAACAAGAACAGGACATGACAGAACTGTACATGGACTGGGTTAACAAAATAAAACAAGACAAGATATAATAGGCAAAACAAGAGGGGACATAACTAAGCACTATATATGAAAAGTATGGGGATTTAGTTACATTATATGATCATACATTGCATAAGCCTGCCACAACGCCAATGTACCCCATATTCAGCAGGTCCTACACTGCCTAATGTTCGCTAAAAGAACCATACTAAACCACAATAGCACTTACCTGCAAGAAAGGGCAGAGACTTGAAACACTGCTGCAGGTCCAGACTGAAACAAAAGGAAAATGGAAAACAAATGGGTGTGGCAACATAAAACAAACATTTAATGGAAACCTGGACACTGGGAATTCCAGGGACGGATTAAAGGAATGAACTCAGAAAAACCCAGCATAAAGAAAACCAGACATAGAATAGAAAACCAAAAAAACAAGAAAAAATAAACAAGAATTGTAAAAAGAGTACTGAATACCAGAAACCAAAGCCAGACATCTCAGCAGAACATGGCATGATGTGACAGATGGATCCTAGCAACTCATGGATTGCGGTTGTGGTCATACAAGGAGGAATAAAAGTTGTGGGAAAACAGAGGCAATTTGCTCTGGGATATTATGTACCTTATCTTCCAGTGCTATAATTTTAGATATGTGTGTGCTTTGCATCCCTAGGAGCGCAGATAGATGAGAAGGCGTATTTACAAGGTCCAATTTGGCCCAAGATGGTAAGAAATCTGCCCTGTGGGTCAGGTATGAGGTTTGAGAATTGCATGGGGAAGGCTTTTCATAAAAAGATGGCTAAGTGTGGGGGAGAGAGAGGGAGTGGGTGGGTGGGAAGGAGAGAAGAAAGGGAGACAAATTCTGTAGCGCTGTACAATGGGTGGACCAACAGACACGTAATTGTAACCAGGCAAATGGACGCACAGGAACAGAGGGGTTGAGGGCCTTGCTCAATGAGCTTACATGCTAGAGGGAATGGTATAAGTAGGCAGTGGCAGATCCAGAGCCTGATCTCGGGAAGGGCACTTGCAGATTATTTAAATAAATAATCGAGACACAATAACCACTACAGCTCAGTGTAGTGGTTATGGTGCCAATAGTGCCGGGACCCCCTTACAGAGTAAATAGTCAAACCGTTTAAAAACAGTTTGACAACTTACCTGAGGTCTGCTGGGAAATGGGGCTGTCATTCGGCATAGGAGCAGTGGTGTGTGTGAGTGGTGCAATGTGTGAGGGGGACAGTGTGTGAAGGTTGCAGTGTGTGAGTGAGGGTGGCAGTGTATGTCAGGGGTGCAGTGTGTGTGTTGGGGGGCAGTGTATGTGTGGGTCAGTATGTGTGTGTGACAGTTGCAGTGTATGTGTGTATGGGGGCAGTGTATGTGTAGGGCAATGTGTGTATTGGAGCATTGCATGTGTAGGGCAATGTGTGTATTGGGGCAGTGTATGTGTGTGTGGGGGCAGTGTCTGTATGTGGAGCAGTGTGTGTATGGGGACAGTGTGTGTGTGTATGGGGGCAGTGTGTGTGTGTATGGGGGCAGTGTGTGTGTGTGTGTGTGTGTGTGTGGGGGCAGTGTGTGTGTGTAGGGGGCAGTGTATGTATGGGGGCAGGGTGTGTGTGTATGGGGGCAGTATATGTGTGTATGGGGAGCAATGTGTGTATGGGGCAGTGTATGTGTGTATGGGGAGCAATGTGTGTATGGGGCAGTGTATGTGTGTGTGGGGGCAGTGTGTGTATGTAGAGCAGTGTGTGTATGGGGGGTATATGTGTGTATAAAGGTATATGTGTGTATGGGGCAATGTGTGTGTGTATGGGTTTCAGTGTGTATGTGTAGAGCAATGTGTGTGTGGGGGCAGTGTGTGTATGTGGAGTAGTGTGTGTATGGGGACAGTGTGTGTGTGTGGGGGGGGCAGTGTGTGTATGGGGGCAGTATGTGTGTGTATGGGTTGCAGTGTGTGTATGGGGAGCAGTGTGTGTATGGGAAGCAATGTGTGTATGGGGGCAGTGTGTGTGTGTGTGTATGGGGGCAGTGTGTGTGTGTGTGTATGGGGCAGTGTGTGTGTGTGTATGGGGCAGTGTATTGTGTGTATGGGGCAGTATTGTGTGTATGGGGGCAGTGTGTGTGTATGGGGAGCAATGTGTGTGTGTATGGGGAGCAATGTGTGTGTGTATGGGGGCAGTGTGTGTGTGTGTATGGGGGGCAGTGTATGTGTGTATGGGGCAATGTGTGTGTGTGTAGGGTGTGAGAGTGTGTGATAAGGGGCTTTTTTTATAATATGCTTTAAAATTTATTTAATTAAAATAAATATTAATTATGTTCCCCCCTTCCTTCTTACCTTTACTGGGAGGAGGGAGGACATTTCTCGATCCCTGGTGGCCCAGTGTTGAGAGTGAACTCTAGCCCATAGCTCCAGGGCTAGAGTTCACTCTCGCGAGATTTGGAGCGTTGCCGTGGTAACCACGGCAACGCTCCTTGCTCGCGAGATGAGGACCCGGAGGAGCTGCAGACTGAGCTCCCGGGTCCTCTCTCACTCCCTCCCCTGCCAGCATGGTGCCTGCGGACTGGGGAGGGAGATCTCTGATCTCCCCTCCGGTCCGTGAAGGCACATTGCAGGGCAGGCGCCTGCATGTGCCAGCAGTTGGTTTTCTGGGGGGGGGGGGCAATTGCCCCATTGCCCCCCTTCCCTGGATCCGCCACTGTAAGTAAGGGTAATGAAATGGTTGCTAGAAAAGTATTCACTGAGAACTTTGGGAGTAGTCATTAAATGATATGTAGTCATTAAATGATATGCTAGTAGTCATTAAATGATATGCTATCCTGAAGAAGTGTATTTTCAAAGATTTTTTTGAAGGAGTGGAGACAGGGTGAAAGTCTAACAGAGAAGGGAAGGGAGTTCCACAGAAAAGGTGCAGCCCTGGAGAAGTCTTGGAGGCGAGCATCAGATGTGGGAGCATGGACAAAGGATAGAAGTGCAACATCGACAGCTGGTTCTTGTGAATGGGCAGGCAGCTCAAGGACATCAAGACATGGGAGCTACCTTGGTGTAGCGCCATTTGGTTCGGGACAATGAACATACTGGACAATCCATAGCCATTCGGGTAGCCGGGGGAGCTATCTACAGACTACCCACTGCCCGAGTTCACCTTGACTGCCAGATCTGGTACAGTAAACGTGGGGGTCATGAAGGACTTACTGGCTGAGGTCCTGCTCAGCAATGATTTGGGACTTCTTACCTCAGTGTATGTTGCCCAGAACCCTGCAGAAGCTCATCAAGTCACCATCCACCTTCAAGCCCGAGCTGCAGAGGCTGGCTCAAGTTTTGAGGAGATCCAGGAAAGAGAAGATTCCCCAATGGTAGTAGTGGCCAAGTTGTCCTGGGATAACCCAGAGGAATTCGGGAGAGAAGTAAGAGCGGACCCCACACTTTAAAAGTATAGGCAGACACAGAACAGGTGGGGTTAGAAATGGAGAGATTTACCTGGGATCAGGACATGCTCTATGACATAACAGAGACCAATAGTAGAGGGACAACCTCATCACAGAAGTACCAGCTTGTAGTCTTGAGGAAATACAGGCTGCAACCCCTGCAGATCGGACATGATGTACCCCTGGCTGAACATTTAGGCATACATCGGATCTCCAATAGAGTCCGTGAATCTCCCGAGAAATCCGGCAGTACTGCCAGACATGTGATGATGGCCAACTGGTAGGGAAAAATGGTGACCACACCAAAGCTTAGCTCCAATCTATGCTGACCAGCTGGGTATCAGTAGATATCATAGGACTCCTAGTGAAGCCTAGTCCCTCCAGTAAAAGGTATATCCTTACCATAGTGCTACCCAGTATCCAGAAGCAGTCACCCTTACCAATATCCATGCTGAGACAGTAGCGGATGCCCTGGTACGAATCTTCTCCCAGGTGGGATTACCTCTGGAGATTGTTTTGGATCAGGGCACCTAGTTCACAGCCATCAGCTGTGGAAACTATGTGGGATAAAACCCATCCTGAGTTCTCCGTACCATTCCCAGACCAACAGTCTCTGCAAGGGGTTCAACAGAATGCTCAAGCAAATGTTACGAACGTTCACCACCGCTTGCTGAGACTGGGAATGATTCCTACCGCAACTCTTATTTGCAGGAGGTACCGCAGGAATCCACGTGATTTTCTCCCTTTGAACTATTATATGGGAGGAGAGTACGAGGTCCACTCAACCTAATCAGAGAGCATTGGGAAGGGGAGACCTAGCGGGAGGGGACTCCAATAGTATCCTATATGCTAGAACTCCGGGACCATAGAACAATTGGCTAAGATGGATGAAAGATGAAAGCTCCAAATGGCTGAGGGGCGACAGAAAGTATGGTACTGTAACGGATCCCCTATACTCTGACTGAGTATATCCTTTGAAAGCATCCCGAGTCCCAAAGTGAAGTAGTGATTATAGCTCTGATCTACCCAAACATCACCCAAGAATTGATGAAGGGTACAAGAAGAATGTTTTATTATGGCCAAGTGGCTGGTTTATATACACAGACCCCCAGCATGGGGTCTTCATTCATTCGTACAGTAAACCCAACAAGGCACCTCTGTGTCTGGGAGATAAGTGAGCTTGCTTTTGCTTAACCTAATTATCTCCCAGGCACTAGAGGTACAAACCTTTACAGTAAACACCCCAAATACACACAATATCTATAGGAACCCCCACAACTATTATATCCCCGGATCAGATCCATGGATTCTATCTGAATCACCACTGGGGTAAAGTCTTGACTAGCTGCACACGTGGTCCCATGCCTAAAACAGTTCCAGGGAAATGGTGCTTTGGCCGGTCATGTTTCAGGAGTTCCCATTCAAAAACAAACTAACGTATCCCCTAGATTGTAGGTAGCGAATGTTTGCCTAGTTCATGCGAACATTCCTACCAAACAGGACCGTAATACCTTCGAGGTAGTGCGTTCAGGAGCAAATTCACTTATGTATGGCTTAATTGGTACAGTTGGATATAGTCATAAAATTAATATCTAAAACACTGGATGATAGTTTCACTAGGATGTATGGTGTGTATACCTTTAAATCTGCTATACGCAGATTCTTTTGGTTACACGCCAAATAATCTGCTTAATATAAAGCAGTTACTTGATACAGAATAACCTAAAAAGAACTGGTTATCTGTATGATATTAATATACACACTGTTATATATAATGTGTGTTTCACTTTAAGTAATCTGTAAGCATACTGAATGGTGCAAAAACACAATTAAACTTTCAGTGGAGAAATGTAAAAAAATTCATAATCTCTGTGCTTAGTATAAAAATACAGTCACTTAAAATATAAAAAAATATATAAAAGAAATTCCAAAAAACCACTTTTAAAAGATGAGTTTTTTAAAAAAATAATGTAAAAGTTTATTCACAATACAAAAATAATAAATGAATAATTCAAAATGGAAAAAATACAAAAAATAGGAGCCAGGGACGGTCAGCAAGTCATCAGCCAATGCAGATATTAGACATATAACTTTCTACACACTGTAGTTGATGAGGATTACAGTGGATACTTTTGTAACAAAACGGAATGATTTTACTTGCCGGCTGCTGGGGAGGTTTGCATGCGTGCCAAATCTCACTCTGATACTCCGGTGCTGGCAGTCCGTTAATCCCCCGGTCATAAGTGCCGTGTGGGGAAAGAGAAGAATCCCTTCTGCTGGCGTCTGGCTGCTCTTCGTAACCTGCTCACTATCACTGCTGGTCTAACGCGTTTCGTGGGTGTCAGCCCCACTTCCTCAGAGACATGCTGCAGCTGGATTTCAGTGTGTGTCTTATATACAGAACTAGCAGATAAGCTGCAAGTGTTATTTGTTAACCAAAGATGTGGATGTTATTTGAATTTGTACACATGCAGTGGTTTGATGAGGATTACAGTGGATACTTTTGTAACAAAACGGAATGATTTTACTTGCCGGCTGCTGGGGAGGTTTGCATGCGTGCCAAACCTCACTCTGATACTCCGGTGCTGGCAGTCCGTTAATCCCCAGGTCATAAGTGCCGTGTGGGGAAAGAGAAGAATCCCTTCTGCTGGCGTCTGGCTGCTCTTCGTAACCTGCTCACTATCACTGCTGGTCTAACGCGTTTCGTGGGTGTCAGCCCCACTTCCTCAGAGACA